GCATTGCTTGGTTCTCAATTGTTCACACACATATGTATTCTTAGTGACTCGATGAATATGCTTTTAAAAATCCAAGCTGGATTTATCAGGCAAGAATGGATTGAAACACTAAGCACTTCACGAATATTGCCCTAACTTTCATCTTTGTGCTAGGTGATGCGGGTGTTCAAGGGAACGAACGTGCAGACTATCTTGCTGACACTGCAGTTGCTATGGCTGGCCCATTACTGGACAGAAGTGATGTTATATGTGCCCTGCGCTGCACTTACCGTAACGAGGAGCACGCCAAAGGACATGACTCCATATCCCTGTCTAGACTAATGGACATGGGGATGCAGCCTGGAGATGCAAGAAATGAATATTTCACTAAGAGGACAAGACGTTTCATTAACCAACACAGAACAGGCGTCATCAGTCGTTTTACACTTGTGGAGCTTTTGAGGAGGAGATCGGAGCACCTGTGGATCTGTCCTGAGTGCTGTGATGATAATCCTTTCTAATCACTAATCTCAGTTAACATCAGAAAACGAGTGCCGAAATATTACATCGAGTCTACTCTGTTGTATGGCAGTAAATCTTGGAATGTGAGCAAACAAATTAAAAAGAGTTCAGAGGCAAGTGAGATGTGGTTCTTGTGCAGAATGTTGAGAATACATTGGGTTGCCAGAAAAACTAACAATGCTTGCCTGGATGTGGCTAAGGAAAGAAGAACAGTATAAACAACAATAAGAAGGCGGATGATATTTATAATAGTGAGTGTATTCCAAATTACCTTTTAAAATCCATATTTATAGCTCTGCCAAAGAAACCAGGCACTATAAAATGTGAAGACCATCGCACAAAAAGTCTTATGAGTCACATGACTATGATTTTACTGAGAATAATTATGAGAAGAATACGAAACAAAAATAAACCAGAAAACAATGTAATTTGTACAAGGAAACGGTACAAACAATGCCATATACATCCTAAGGACATTGTCAGAAAGGGCTATAGAAGTGATTTGTACTTATGCTTCATAGACTATACAAAAGCATTTGACTGTGTGAACATGAAGAAGTAATCAAACTGTTAGAAAAATTAAACATTGATGATCTACGAATAATAATAATAAATAAAGAATATGTATTGGCAGCAAACAGCAGCTATGAGAATTAACAACTGTTTAGGTACATTTTAAAGCATAAAGAGGGGCGTACGTCAAGGATGTGTACTGTCACCTGATTTGTTTTCAATATACAGTGAATATATAATAAGATCTTTAATTGATATCAAAGCACAATATAAAAAATTTACGTTATGCTAATGAAGATATCAAACAAGTCAGAAAGGCTAAAATGATAGCATGTTAGAAAATGAAGAATGGGCCTCAGTTTGAATAATGGGGAAGACAGAATATCAAAGAAACGAATTATTGCAAATGTGTAATCAGTTGACGGTGTTATTTTAGGACAAGTACAGAAATTTAAGTCTTGGGCATGGATAACATCAGATGGAAGATGCGAGATGCATAGGACAGGAAAAAACTTCATTTTATAAAATGAAAAAACATCTTGTTATTTCCTTGTAATTGAGAGTTATAAAAAGAATTCTTGCTTGCTACATACACCCTGGGCTGTGAATCTGGACAATCGTTAGGCAGGTCAAACAATTTCTAGAGGCCTCAGAGATGTGGTTTTACAAAAGAATGCTTAGAATACCTTGGACAGCCAAAAAGAGCAACCAAGAGGTTTTGAAAGAGGCGGGAGCCCGAAGACAATTTATCACAGACATCAGAAGGAGACAGTCATCATTTTTCGGCCATGTTATGAGAAGAGGAAAAATAGAACATGTTGTGACCACTGGAAAGATCTGTGGAAAGAGAGATAGAGGAAGACAACGAGAGAAGATGCTTGACATTCTTGTTGCATGGCATGGAGGTGTGTCGGCACACGAACTGATACATACTGCAGGAGATCGCAGATTATGGAGAAGCATGATCGCCCACGCTAGTCGGCAAGGCACCTGATGATGATGAAGAAGGCGACAAACGAAGTTCTATGGTCATGTGATGAGAAAAGAAGCACTGGAATATATCGTGACGACTGGAAAGATCACTGGTAGAAGATGCAGAGAAATTAAGGTGCATGGCTTAAGACAGTGGCATGGAGGAATATCATCAGTGGAATTGATCCAGAACACCAAAGGCCGAGATCTGTAGAGATGGATAAACGCCTACGCCAGCTGGCAAGGCACTTGATGATATATATATAATATATATAAATATATATTTACACGCGCGCGTGGGCAAATACACAGGTCAGATGGGAAGAACAAGCTATAGAGATGAAAGACAGAAGAAGGCTTATATTGCAGATGTAATTTCCAATAATCACGGAATTGTTCCATCAGAAAGATGTTAAAAAAATGTACTTGGACGATGGACCACCTGCAGTCAGCGGAAGTGAGTCAGTACTCCGAGGTGAAGACGGCCACATCCGGGTTCCGTTGTTGTCAGTAAATCCGTGGTTTTCTGCCAGTCCCCTGCTGTCCGGCACATGTATGAACAGGACAGCTAGACATTAGACCTATCTTTCACCTTTATCTCGGCGTTCCTGTTTACTTCACGGTAAGTTTAGTCAGTATTGAACACGCTAATATAGGTGTGGTTGATAAATAGCACCTTTATTGATAGTGTGAAAATGTCAACAGTTTTTACCTGACCTGATCAGACGGAGAATAGATTGCAGCCAGAACTTAGCGTGGCGACCTATATTACAATGTACTATTTCTGTCATTTGTGGTCACATTTTTGTGAAGATGTTCTTTTTTAGTTTATCTATATTCAAGAAAAACGAGTAAACAATTTACAGCACCTTAATTTCGCCAGTAGAACAACAGGCGGATTCCTGCACCCCCTGGTTGTGTGTGTTAAGATGTATTGTAATAATTGTATGATGCTGTATCAATGTGCCTCGATCAGGGTTGTGGAATAATATTCCCGATTCCAGTAAATCAAGAGATATCAAAAATCAAGAAGAGACGCTGGCGTTGGATAGGACACGTGCTGAGAAAAACAGCTTTGCAAAACACGCACACACATGACGGGAGCTAGAGAATGAAGTTAAAATAAAAAGATAGGGAGAACATCCATAGGTCATGGGGGTTAGCGGTTTGCAGTTGAGTTAGTAGAGTTGGCTTGTCGTAAGGGTTGAGTTCCTATGCTCCTTTAGGGGATAAAGAAAGGAAGACAGTTGCCAGAAAAGGTTGTTAATGATTCATCTGATTAAGCTGTCTTCTTTTCCAAGACTAGGATCTTATAATAATAATATGCTATCTAGGACTGGGTCGTGATCCTTTTGGGGGTCAAATGACCCTCTCACACCACAACATAAAGACATTAGGAAGGTTGAAAATCACTGATCTAGGACTGCAGTTGTGAAATGAGGTACCGGAACAGGTAGCTTGACTATTTGTCTAATAAAACTCTTTTCCAAAGTAAATGTCTCAGCTTTGCAGCCTGGCTGTTGTTCACTGTGCTTTCCTCTGAATAATGGCCACATATTGCGACTAAAAACAGGGCCTCAGTTACATGCAAAATGCGGACATACTGAGACTTAAATTGCAGACTTCCGGCAACTATACCGCCACCGCCAAGATATTTCCTGCCCTGCTATGCACGGCACCATACTAGATGGCTGGGACTCATGAACAGCAGTCCGCATCTCCTGCAGCTTTGCTCGTGAGTCCCAGCCATTTAGGTTAAGCCCCACGTTGAGTGTAGCGACACAGGAGAGACTCTCGGCTGTGGCGGTAAACTCGCAGGAAGTCCGCAATTTACACATGACTAGGCCCTGTCAGGGTGTGTTTTTGGTGGCCATAATATGTGGCCATTTTTTTGGAGAATAGCCCAAAAATGTCCTATCCTATGATAAAGGTAACCTTCACCATCTAACCTGTCACTGGCTTAGAGGCCAAATTCGCGTGATTGAAATAAATAAGTATTGCCTTCCAGTGGATTATAAACCAATAACCTCCTCACACCACATTGTTGCTAGAAGTTGTTTTGTAATAACTGACAGAATTCTGTGTGGTTGCCAGGGTCCCATTCTTGGAGGATGCCAGGGTCCCATTCTTGGAGGATGCCAGGGTCCCTTTCTTGGTGGTTGCCTTGGCCCCATTCTTGGAGGTTGCCAGGTTCCCATTCTTGGAGGTTGCCAGGTTCCCATTCTTGGAGGATGCCAGGGTCCCATTCTTGGAGGATGCCAGGGTCCCATTCTTGGAGGAAGCCAGGGTCCCATTCTTGGAGGAAGCCAGGGTCCCATTCTTGGAGGAAGCCAGGGCCCCATTCTTGGAGGAAGCCAGGGCCCCATTCTTGGAGGAAGCCAGGGCCCCATTCTTGGAGGAAGCCAGGGTCCCATTCTTGGAGGAAGCCAGGGTCCCATTCTTGGAGGAAGCCAGGGTCCCATTCTTGGAGGAAGCCAGGGTCTCATTCTTGGAGGATGCCAGGGTCCCTTTCTTGGTGGTTGCCAGGGTTCCCTTTCTTGGTGATTGCCAGGGTTCCCTTTCTTGGTGATTGCCAGGGTTCCCTTTCTTGGTGGTTGCCAGGGTTCCCTTTCTTGGTGATTGCCAGGGTTCCCTTTCTTGGTGGTTGCCAGGGCCCCATTGTTGTGGGTAGGGGGAGACACTGTTTCCTTGACAATCATTTTGTACAAGGTGACTAATTAGGGGCATTTTGTTTTAAGTCTGCGTGCGTCTGCCTGATAGGCAAGCGTACAAATAAGCCATTTAAATGTGATGCGCATGCAAAATTCTGGAACAGGATCAAAATCCAGAAGTGGACAAACAACTAGAACTTATAGACGGAATTTACACTCAGAGAGTAAATGAACGTTAAGAAGAAGACTGGCAGAATAAACAGAATTCCCGAGACAGGAGTTGTGATCAAGAAAATAGTGAAGTTGAGCCATTTTTATCATTTCGTTAAACGTGTGTGTTGTCATTTCAGGCATACAAACAGAATGTCAGACAACATAGATGAGGACAAGAAACGGGACGAGAAGGTCTATGGAGGAATTGAGGGTCCCAATTCGCAGTACGTCAAATTAATCTCCTCAGATGGTCATGAATTTATTGTCAAAAGAGACCACGCTCTCACTTCTGGAACTATCAAAGCCATGTTGAGTGGTCCTGGTAAGATTTTACAAGGCTGTATTTTGTGTCTGTGATCACATGTATGTACTTTCAGGCTATCCTCTGAATAACGATCCCAAATTATCAAGGCCGAAAATATACCTTAACAGGGCCTCGGTCACATGTAAATTGCGGACTTCCGGCGTCTACCGCCGAGAGTATTTCCCGCACCACTACGCGCGGGGCTAAACTAGCAGCAGCTACCCCATCTCCTGCAGTCTCCTTCATTTTATTTGCTCGTGAGTTCCAACCATCTAGTTTAGCCCCGGGCATAGCCGCGCTGGAGATACTCTCGGCAGAGGCGGTAGTTGCCAGAAGCTCGCAATTTACATGTGGCTAAGGCCCTGTTAGGGTATATTTTCGGCCACGATAATTTGGGACCGTTGTTCGGAGGATAGTCTACTTTCAGATAGAACTGCAGAAACATATCTAATCACGTGGCATAGCATTTTCATTTTTGTCAGACAATTAATTGCTGTATTGTATAATCGGACTAGTCCATTTTTTAACAATTTGTAGCGCGGGGAAAGTTCTCAAAAATACAGGTCACATGAACAGATGGGCACTTCACCCTCCTTCTCCTGCTCTTTTTTCCTCAGTGGAGCATAAGGCCTCCACCAGCTCACTATGTTGTATCCTTGATCATCACCTACAGCTCATCCCATCACTTCACTTTCTGGTTGGCTCTGGGAGGGGGGGGGGGGGGAGTCCTGCCTTTCATCTCTTTAACCTGTAAGTTTCAGTGCAAAGACATTTTTAGTTGTTGTTATTTGTTCCTTCCCAAAGCTCTACATTGGCGATCCTGTCATACCTTGTAATTTACCTTCGCAGGCAACAGTGTAAAGATTTTTTTGTAGTTTATTAGTAATTGTTTTAGTTGTTCTCCATGTTTATGCTCCAGACACTACTTATTTGATCTACATCACCCACCGAGTGCTGATTGGTCTGTGACATATAGGTCTAATTCTCTATGCCAGATTTCCTAGTGCTATGAAAACGTCAGTTCCCCTTTGCATTCACATCTGAATGTTGGAATTAAGAATCGACATCAACTGCATTCGGGAAACCCCCATAAGCACCCCGTCCCCATCTTCAGCAGCAGGCAACGAATGAAAATTCCGGTGGTGCCTGTTACTGTCTGATTGAACATCTGTCTCGACTTTCCCCTGGTAACTCCCCGCAGTGTCATTCTCCTCAAACTGTAATGATAAATCTGTGCCTCGGCACTGTTCACTCGCTCCAAGGGGTGCAGTACGGGCTAGTCTACCTTCCTGCTCATTTCCCAATACACTGGCATAACCTGGAGAAATTTCTATTTTTATATCTTTATCAGTTCGCACTCAACTTTATCCCTAGAATCAAATCTAATGCACCTGTCTCTTGAATGAATGAGATTTAACCCCGCCAGGACATCTGTCTAGTTATAAACACCCGGTGACACAAAGTGACCACGCAGATGAGGATCACCCGGGGAGTATACTAATTAGTGATTTTTCCTTTAGAGTGCATCTGACTGAGAGATAAGGAACCAGCAGTGTGCATACAAGTAAGCCCTATCTATAAAAGAAGGATGTGCATGAAGAATTCAGATTTGAAAGTTTTGGAACAAAGTGCAAGTACGACCAGAACTTTCCGCTGGAATTTACAGCCTGTGAACGTGAACAAGGAGACATGGTGATGTGGTTGAGGTCTGGGCTGCAAGAAGTGAGCCGTGATGGTGTGTTAATGCTCTTCCCAGTCTTGATTATTTTTTATTAGCCATATGTGAGAACTATGTTGTACTAATAATGATAAGTTAATGTGCACACTTGAGATCTCAGGTTCGAACTGCAGTAGTATCATAGTCAAGTCAATGAGCCTCTCACATGCCTTCGGGCGTGCTGAGCATATAGTGTTACAGCAATCGGCACTCGGTCTGTGATTTAGATTGTGTTGGCCACCTTTACTTCCCAGGACTTTATATGATGCACATTTAAGGCTGAGTCTTCATGGTGGAGACAGGGTCATTTTAACCGTGACACCCGGTGGCCAGTAATGGTTGCAGATATCTAAAACCCGCAATGCATCTGAGGCCACACATCAGAAGAGCACCCAGGGGGTCCTTACATCTCCCCCAACACTTTGATAGGGGAACCGGAGGAAGTGAAGAGAGAGATCAGAAATCCAAGACTTGACCTATGGTAGAGATATATGTTAAAAATTTTTGTTTTAAATCTTTACAGGTCAGTTCTCAGAACATGAAAACAATGAGATCAACTTTAGAGAGATCCCGTAAGTCTTGAACATTGATGTTGCGTAATTTGTAGTTGAGTCTGAACTGAGTCCTGTTACTTCTAATCAGAGTTGACAGCAATTTAACTCTTTGAGTCCCAGGGGGTTTGTCATCAGAGGTCCAAGGTGTAGTCAAAAGAGACGTTAAATCGGCGCAGCATGCGTTCATTGGGCCTCTAGGTGGGAAACTATAAACGTATGATGGCGTTCCTTGGTACCCAAAGAGTTGACTGAGCTATTCAGAACATGTCACAGCATAGTAAGTCATTAAGCTAGTCCTACAGCAGATGCTGGCAAGATGTGAGGTCTTCACCTGTTATTGGCCGTGATGTGGTCACCTTTCATTGCTGAATTTCATTTCTAGAAAATTCTGGAAATTGTATGGTACCCGGTTTTTTTAAATGCAGAATCTACTCAAGCTATAGTACTACTACTATTTTCCTTGCAGTTTTACGTTCTTTGATGGTCATCTTTTTGCAACTTTTTCTCATCTCTTGTTGCATCATGTCGTATGGTATGCTCCTGCAGAGTACTTTTCAGACTTGCAGTTTTATTCTCTCCGGGAATGCTTCTGTAAATGAACAGGCAGATAGAATCCAGAAAAGCGTAGTTGAATATCATTGTTTCTGTGTGCGCCTGCATCTGAGAAAACATTTACAAAAGTTGACATTCAGTACAGCTTCCTGTGTGGGTTCTGGGGTCCCATGGGTGATGCACGTTAGACACACTGCTGCTCGTCCTAACAGGCATGGTGTGAGCGGCAAGCTAGAGAGAAAGATAGCAATGTATGTGTTAACCTGAGAAAAGCAGTCAGTGAAAGAAAGTTTGAAGATACAATAAAACATTAGAAAAAGTAGTAGATTTTGTAGTCCGCTGAATAAACTTTTTGCTATATACTGTGATGGCCTCTAAGCATTGTTTATTAAAATGTTTACTCATGATGAATTAACTCCTTGTTTCAGAAGCGTTTCGTTGCACTGTCATAATTCTCTATTATTGTCCCCACAGGTCTCATGTCTTACAGAAAGTCTGCATGTACTTCACCTATAAAGTGCGCTATACAAACTCATCCACGGAAATCCCAGAGTTCCCGATCGCCCCAGAAATAGCATTGGAACTACTCATGGCTGCAAATTTTCTTGATTGCTAAACTCTCCTGATTGGATTGTTTCATTTCTAGTGATGACTTGTGTCGGACTTAGGAAGAAACCCTTTTCGTTTGTAAAATGGTGGTGTTGCCTTACTTGATTGAACTATCTGGGTAGTCTAAATTACGAAACAAAACTTCAGAGTTTATGACAAAATATCGCTGTAGTTTACAGTAAATATTTGAGACAGTTTATTTAAAATCTACATTTCATTTTCATAACATTTGCATATTTTAGTGTTTTATGTTGCATACTTAGGAGGCGTAAACATGTTTTAAAGTATTTATGTTGCGTTTATTTGTTGGGTGTGTTAGATGTTTCACCATATATTATTATAGGGACTGTAACAGTTTTGTTATATGCATAATCGTATTCTGGAAGTCTCAGTCACATTTGCCAGATTTTGTGTATCCTGTAGGTTATTTGCAATAGATACGCCTTGACCACTGACAATTGATCCTAGCTCGCATAACATGGGCTTTAGGTTAGAAAATAAATTTGGTTTCAAAACAGTTTTTTAGTACTTTAACTCCCCCTGTTATTGCTATAGCATTACTGCCCAGCGAGACACACAAATTAACAGTTTGTTGTTGTTGTTTTTTTTTTTTTTTGAAACTTGTTAAGTGATAATTTTTAAGAGGGTGATAACAGGGACTTACAAAAAAGTGTGTTAATTTTAAAGATGAAAAATTAAACATATTCTGCGGTATATTCTTCTTTCCTATATACGGGGTAGTAGAAATTGTGAACATAAGAGCAGCGTATGCGACTGTTACTAGCGTAAGATATTGACTGTTATTCTTACACTTGTTTACTGTACCACAAGTGTATGTTCAAAGTGTGTCCAGTATGATTTATTTATTCAATATCTACAGCCAAACCAGTACTGTTGAATGCTGTATCGAACTAAAACATTAAGAAAAACTGAAACAGTTACTAATAAACTTCCATTCATTCATTAACTAGTGCCTGAGCAAACTAGAGGGAATAAAACTATATGTTAGACTCATTAATATGGACCTTTGAGGAAAAAGTAAACAAATTTAAATTGAGCAAGCGGTGAAAAGGCTTTGGATTGGACATATTTTGAGATAACCTGAGAACAGTTTAAATAATATTTAACTGTGGGAGTTTGTTCAGGACCTGTGCTCTAGTAGAATTCACATGTTTCTTTATTCTAACCACTATTTTATTTAAACATTATGAAATTGCGTCTTAAGCAGGTAGCAATGTTTTAGGATTATGTCTGTTAGTAAATTTTTCACACAGACGTTTGAGGGGACTTCTTGCATGCTGGCAGTATGTATACTGATACCAATGTGCTCACGTCTGTCTGTATTGTAGTGAAAGGTGTGTAGATTTTTATTGTCACGTCGCAACTATCATCACTCATACCTCACCAGGCAGATTCTAGTGCACGTTTTGCTCTATACAAAGACCGGATTTTTTCGTTTGCTGCTTTAAAGGACAGCTGTAGCCGTGGAATTAAACAGTCAAATTTTTGTATTTAAATTTCTTAAAATTGTCTTTAATAAAATTTAAATGAATATTTTGTTAGTTTTGTGGGTTTGTTTAAACAGTCAATGTTTTAAGATGTTGCATTGTTGTTTTGATCCGGTTTTTTAATCAACCGGCTTGCACTGTATTTGTCATGTTGCCATCATCACATCAGTCGCCTTTACTTTGTAGGACATTTCTTGGTACCGGTTTTAACCCCATGTGAACCTGGAATCCCAAGATAATATATCCAAAGAGAAAAAGCCCACTTTGATAGGGATTCAAACTCAAGATCTTTAGACCACCAGATAGGTGCTGTCTCCATTGGTGGAACTTTACTTCAAGATGATGAATTCTACTATTACAGAAGCAACTTTAAAAAAGTTAGTTGCGTATCCTTTACAGGACGTTGCAGAACCAACCCTAACAGCTCCTGGCTGTTGTGTGGTCTTTCTAGGCAAATTTACATCCAGTAGTTTGCCATTGCTTTCTGGATAGCCGGCTTTCTTGATACCACTGTCGAAACTAACGCAAGGCGCATTGCCCGCAGCTGGGATCGAACCTGGCATCGCGAAGCATTCGCATCAACTTAGCCACAGAGCCGAAAGCGCCTTTAAGGAAACATGCATTAACTTGAGAGTGCACACTGTCAAGAATGATCAGAACTAGAACAGACCAAAGGGCGTTGGTGCGCGATGTGGTCATCACCATGCCAGCCTCTTTTACCTCTACTTGGTACCCATTTTGAGGCTACGTCGACCTGTCCCATGAGTTGTTTGTCCATCACATGTGATGATGACCATTCTTGTTTACATACATCATTAAACTAGTTGAATTGTACAAGGTGACATGTAGGCAAGTTAAACAGATGGGGAGAGCTGCATACATTAGCCAAGGATAAAACGACTGGACGTGAGTTAGTTGGTTGAGGGCCTATGCTCCATTAGGGGTTAGAAATCCGGAAGAAAAAACTTGCTTGGTCGAGCTTCTAGCTGCTACAGCACCAGATATAAGTACTAAAATAGTGGTGCGACATCATCAGTGTGGTGGTGCATCGTCAGTGTGGTGGTGTGCATCGTCAGTGTGGTAGTGGTGCAGGTGCTTATTGGGTGAGCTAAATTAAATAAATCTTTGAGAGGAAAAGGCACTGTGTAGGCCGAGCATTGATAAAACATGTTAATAACAAAGCTAGAAAGTATTTCCACAGGGAAACAGAAACAGAGGGTGGTCTGCAAACATTGAGAAGAGGATTAGATACTGAACAATAGGGAAACGAATTGAAAAGACCGAACTTTCGCTTTCTATCAGAATTGGACTACGCAAAAAAATAAAAAAGCACCATCCTTTCTAAAGATCCGTCAACATGGGAAATGATCCTGGCAAACAGCATAGACCTACAGCCTAACTATACAGTCACAACAATTCTAGGCATAGACAGAAAGGCTGAAGAATGTGACATAGTACTGCATGCAAAGACCCTTGAACATGCCTACAATTGTTATCCAAAACCCAAGTGAGCACACATATACAGCGATGGTTCATTGGAGGGAGCACACACATAAAACACAAGGACCTGAATTGGTCATGCTGCACAACGGGACCACAGTAGAAACGTCACGCCCCTCCGAAAGACTCAACTTTCAGAGCCGAAGGCAATTATTTAAACACCAACATTGTTTTCCTTTCTGATTGCATCCCAGTCCTCCAGGTGACTCAGAGGGATCCACAAGAGAGAACTGACACGCCTAAACGGAAAAAAAAAAGAATCGTTTTTAAGTGGATCCCGGCTCACTGCGGCATACCGAGAAATGAGTTAGCAGACACACTTGCAAAAAATAGAACAAAGGAGAAACAACACATCCATTTATTTCCATTATCAGAAATCAAAGGAAACTATAAGGAATTTTGGAGAGAACAAAACGAACACAGTAAAAATCAGAAACTCAACATTAAGCAATATAGTTTTCCGTCTACGCACAGGACACAGCAGGTTCAGCTACCCCATGCATAAAATAAAGCAGAATGATAGAATACATTAGACAATATACAAATCGGAAGCCATAGTTACCTTGCCTGAAATTGAACATGTCACACTCCCCTTCACCCCCCCCCCCCCCCCCCATGACGAGAGCGCCTGGCTGCAGAAATGTACTGAGACGCGTGATCAAGACCCCCCATAGTGATTTTTATTTCGACAGTGGCGGTGACAACTTCTGTGCCTGGCACAGGAGCTATAGCTTTCCATTTGTATGTTGTCTAGTGTGCCCTTCTATATTTCATTACTTCTTTCCAGCCGAATCAAAACTTAACAGTGGCCATGATCCTGTTACATATCCCGACAACTACACAATACACATCAATTATTGTTTACTAAATTAGTAACCATGGAGATGAGCTGTCTGAGACGGGCTGTAGGAGTGACCATAAGAGATGAGATCATAAGAGAAAAAGTCGGCACAGAACCAATACTAAATTACATACGAAGACAGCAGGTGAAATGGTTTGCCCACTTAGAGAGAATGCCTTGTGACACGATACCATACAAAACATACATGGAAAGAGAAGAAGGGCGTAGAGCACGAGGTAGAACAAGATGGAAGGATGACATCAGAGAAACTGTACAACAGCACGATGTGCCTATGGTCGAGGCGACCAGAAGAGCTAGAGACAGAACCTTACATCTTCCTCGACACCCACAGCGGTAAAAGAGGAAGTGAAGAAGAAGAATTCTTCAACTCCTGTTCTACATTCCACCGAGTCACTGGTCATAGCAACTGAAACAAAAGTATTTTCATGACATAACGCACCGCCTTCTCCAGAATAGAGTCGACCGTGACATAACCTAATCACTAGTTACTCGCAACATCATTTGCATACACCTAAACATCACCGACACGCAACAAGCAAAAACATTAAGACATCATGATCAGGATTTTGGACTAGTTAAAGCTCCTCTTCCACGTATACTAATAATTCTTACCGGATATATTCTTGTTACCTATTTTCACAATTGTCTCAGGCGCGTGGCTATCGAGAGGCGATTTCCTGCCCCCTGTCCTTTTATAGTCGCTGTGACTTTGTCTCCTCGTTGGTTAGTTTTCAGTAGGCGCTTCCAGCAGAATCAAAAGATTTTACAGTTGCCATGAGCCTGCTACATTTCTAATTCTTTCTATGAGTGCCCATCAATACATTGTTTATTTTATATTTAATAAATCATATTTGAAGGCTACTGGCGCCATTAGTATCGGAACTCTTCGCTGACTGTTGAAGATGTGGACGGAGTGCTTATGGGAATACCCCGAGTCTGTAATGTCGGTTCATGAATCATCTATCTATCTTCTTATACCCCACCAAGACATCACACAAGCGATAAACATCCGATGACACAAAGTGCCACCATGCGGATGAGGATCACCGGGGAGAGGTCCCAGAAACCGCGTTCAGCCATTAGACCATATTTATGGCCGTATCTATTGCGGCCCCTGTCAAGAGCCAGAGTAGGGCTTCAAATAGCGAAAAATTGAATCCCACAAGGAGATGACTGGATTATTTAACAGGACAACCATTGAATCAAATCAAATCAAAGAATATATATACCACATCACCCCATCGTGTGCCAATTAGTCTCTTCACAAATATGGGACTGGCACAATATGTCAAATACCAGAAATTATGCTTTAACTTTTACAGTAGTTACGATATTTATGTGATTGTATGTTTTGTAAAGTAATAAAAGTCTTCTTGTTTATGGAATCAATTGAGTTTGTCTTTGTTCTATATCTCTCTGAAAATCGAGAACCTATCCATTCGTTCCAACATTTAAAAATTCAGATTTGGCTCTCCGCGGCGACTTTTCCCTGATAAAGAAAAAATGTCGTCCATTGTAGGCCTTCATTGTCAAAATGTATTTTTCTGAACCATTCAGAAACCAGCCATGACGTAGCAAATTGTGAAATATTTGATACGTTCGTAGTTCGTACGAACGTATAAGTGCATCTTTTATTCATTAAGGGATCATTTGTGTCGTTTCCAATGGTACACACAGCTCTAATGATTGTGAGAAGTATAAGTATAGTATAGGGAAAAGATGGTGTAATAATGTTCCAAGTTTTGTTCTCTAGCTTCTTAATCTTTGATTCGCCCACCTTGTTTTGATCGCACAAGTATTATTGTAAACAGCTGAAGTTGGGAGGATTAAACATCTTACGTGATTGAACTTTGTAAAATAAGAAATATAATTGAATATGATTACATTTGTCGGTTCCATTTGATTATTATATTATATAGTCTGGCGCTGTAGTGTGTGTGGTGGGGTGGGCTGGGACTCAGTTGAATCGCCGGACTGGCGATTGTGATTGTCCTCCTAGCTGTATTGAAGTGTACTCAACTGCAACCAAACCATATCTGAGGTAAGTCTAGAAATTACTTAAAAAAAGTCATTAAAAAATGTATTTGTTCTGATAAAAAATAAGTATTTATATTTATTGCCGTAAATTATCTATCGAATATTGTTGAGTTAAGAAAATCGACATCACAGCACTCAGGACACTCCTGTATATAAGCGCTCCGTCCCCATCTTCAGCAGCAAGGTATGTTGTATACCTGTCTCGACCTTTTCGTTGAGCGTCCACCAGTTTCCCTGGCAACATCTTGCATCTCCACTACTCCTCAGACCTTAATGATCTGTCTGTGCCTGCGCACTGTTCACTCGCTCCCAAAGGGCCCTCACAACATCTGGCTTGTCGTACATCAGTTCACCATCAAGTGGTGCAGAACTGGCCAGTCTATCTGCCTACATACTAACTACCCGGGATCTCTGAAGTGATGCTTGCCACTCTACCACACAAAGCATGCTGTCTCCACCTTTCTCAAGATGCTCCTGCAAGTTACTTACAGTCACGACGGCATGTGTGTACAGCTGATTCTGAGGCTTTATTGTACAAAGCAACGTGCATTCACTTTTGCTATGAACCCCCATGCACTTTGTCTGCCCATTAACACAGAGCCATCTGTATAGATAATCACATCACCTGGGCAGGAATTGTCATCAATCATTTGTTTTTGCCTGTCCACAATCTGTGATCTGCAACTGCATGTATCAGTTCGTGTGTTGACACCCCTCCATGCCATGACAAAAAGCTGTCAAGAATTCTCTGGGTCTTGTCTTCCTCGGTGTCTTTCCACAGATCTTTACAGCGGTCACATGCTCCAATTTCCCTTTTCTTATAAGATGACCAGAGAATGGTGGCGGTCTCTTCCTAATGTTTTTGATAAGTTGTCTCTGAGCCCTCATCTTTTTTAAAACATCTGGGCTGCTCTTTTTAAGTGTCTAACTAAGAAGTTCTAAGGATTCTTCTGTAAAACCACATCTCCAAGGCTTTCAAGAAATAATATTGTGACAGTGAATTTACCAAATCAACTGCTATTTAAATTTGTTCTCTTTCTTTCTTTATTTGTTTTTATTTTTAATTGTTAGGTCTGTGTGTGTACACACACACACACATACACACACACACACACATATATATATACACACATAGACGTATGCTTTTTTGTTTCAGAAAGAATGCCTGTGACTCGAAACCAGTCAAGCGTGGCTGCCAAGTCGAGCAGCGAAATTCCCAGCACCAGTGGGCTAAAGGAGAGCTCTGATGGAGCTGACAAGCCAACGGAAGCTGAGGCATCTCATCGGGACTCGCCAGAAAACTGCTCTATATGTTTGGGGCCTTTCATCAACAAATCTTTCACCAGTAGCTGCGCTCACTCCTTCTGCTTTGTTTGCCTGAAGCAGTGGTCCAAGGTCAAAGCTGAGTGCCCTTTATGTAAGCAATCGTTCACTGGAATTTTTCACAACATTCGTTCAAATGATAGCTATGATGTGTATGAGCTGCCTCCGGTGAACCCACCGACCCAGATTGATTACAGCTACTTGTACAATTACATGGGCGGGCATCTGGCCACCTTTGCGCCAACCCAGCATTATTTTAGCCTGTCCCAGCCAAGCTTGGATGCCGATTTGACTTTGAGTAATTTCAGCAGGTTCCAGTTTCATCACCGGCGCTACAACAGGTACCTCAATTCAGACCACTCCGTGCATGGTGAGCATCAGTACTCATTCCCCAACTCAACGTTCAACCCAGCTACTCATGTGTCAGCGGCTTCCTGGCCCAGAGGTGCTGAGGACTTCCGTCTCCGAGTGTATAGACGTCACATGGGTCCTCCAGCTGTGATTCTGGGCTGTGAAAACAGCAACTACCGTCTAACTCCGGCGATGGTGGCCGCTAGTTCTCATAGGTTACATCGCATCATGCCATGGCTGACCAGGGAGCTTAGAGTTCTACTTAGAAGTCACCAGAATGTCAGACAGGCCATTGGCATCATCCAGCCTCTCTTGACCCAGGTGACTATTGATAGTCATTACTTCAGTGAGAAAGTTTCACCCATCATCGGCCAGAAGTCGAGGCAGTTCATTCAGGAGTTTGCAGCATTTGCTAACAGTGCGCTGACTTTGCAAGCTTTTGACAGAAAGGCTATGTATAGATCTCGAGTAGCCAGAATTCTTTACGAAGACAGTTCCAGCAGTAGCAGCGATGATGATGTCATTGAGGTCACAGACGCTAGCCCAGATATACGGGCACATTCATCGAGAAATGCATCAACAAGCTTGCAAGGGGCAGACAGGTTTTCCCCAACCCCCGGCCCGTCACAAGAAATATTCGATTCCCAAGACCCGCCTGCCCAAACAGAAGTTGACAGAGTATCGGTCAGCTCTGAAAGTGACCCGGTTTTTAGACCTGGTTTAGATGATTCAGAGTCTGAAAACTCAGAGGCTGGGAGTGATATTGTGTTTGTCAAGTACGACAAGCCCTGGGGCAAGAGGTCACCCATACAGCTGTCTTCTGGCTCAGAAGGGGGTGACAAGAGCAGGAAGAAGAAAAAGATGAAAAGTAAAAAACTCAAAAAGAGAAACTTATCAGAGGTAAAGTCTTTGAGAAAGGGTAAAGGACAAAAGTCTGCAAAGGCTAGAGGCAGAGATTTGTTAAAGGGGAGGGCTGGTTCCCGAAGCGAGTGGCATTATGAATCAGAATCAGGCGCTGGTCCAAATATAGTCTGCCCACTGTCCTCATTGGTCAAACAAAAGAAGAAGAAGCATAAAAAATCAAAAGAAAAGAATGTTGACAATTTATTGTGTGACAAAGACAGGGAGCAGCCAGGCAGACCTGCGGATGGTATCTGGCATACTGAGAATATGGATGTTGGTGGTGGAAGTGGAAACATCAACAGCCTGATTTCTGATAAACGGAAGGATCTACATAAGAAGAGAGGCAGGTCATGTGACAGTGACAAGGGGCGGCGAAAGAGGAAGAAGAAGAAAAGTTTGACTAAAGAATTGGCCGGCTCATCACCAGGGCTAATATCTTACAAGAAACACCACTCCGGTCACAAGAAGTCTGCTGGCAAAGGTGAGAGTTCCCGGAGAAGACATCAGCATAGGCACACTTCTAGAATAGATCATTCTTCTGACAGCTCGAGCCGAACAGATTCTTTAGACAGAGAAATGCAAGCTCCTCGAGGCCAGCAGGTAGCGTCTTCAGGTGTCGACCATTCAGGTGCCAGCACCTTCCAGGCATCATATCTGGCAAGACCTGACACTGTTCAGCACATCCCACTGAATCTCTGGGTGAGCACCTGGCCATCCTTGCCTCACACCCTTCCTGCAGCTTCTCCTTCAGCAACCTTCTCCTCCTCCTTGCCTCACCCACTGACTTCCTCAAGTTTTCCAAATCAGAATCTGGGCAATACATCGAGCGAATACACCTCACAGACAATATCAAGCGACAGTGAATCATCCAACAACAGCGATTCAGACACCTCGGCAGACAGTTCTAGCCCAATACCACTGCGTACCAGAACAAAGCGATGGCTAGATGCGAGTTACCCAGAGCTTAGTCTTCAGCCTTCCTCAAGCTCCGCCATTCACACATCTTCGGCACCTGACCTGACCCAGATCTGGGGAATCGAACACATTTCATCACAGAGCTCTGATGCAAATGTCTCCGCTAGGCATTCAAATAACATTACGGATATTGTATCTGTAGGCAGCGATGATGATGATGTTGTCATATGTAGTAGTACGGATGAATCAGAGTCGGATGAAGTCAGAGTGATTGAAAAATCTGATGTTTCCATTTATTCGTCGTCATCCTCATCGTCGTCATTTGGAAGCTTTGCCACAACTGCAGGTGTGTATAGGTTGGCTCAAACAACTTATCCAAGTCAGTCAAACATTGTTTCTCTGATGCTGGGAGGCAGGCACTCCAACAACTTGATTCAGTCAACCTCTGCTCCCATTGTCTCTTTTCAGACAAGCAGAAAGTCCAGCTCAGCAGAACAAAGCCTGGATCCTGTGTTGTCTGGACTTGTCACCAGCACAGGCAGTAATGTTGAAGCACCCACCACATCCATGCAATCAGACCAACCAGAAATCATTTCATCACCAATAGCATCCAGCAGCATGCAAGATTCCCAGCCAGGCACTTCAGCAAGTGAACTGAAATCCTTGACTTCATCTGGGAATAAAGAAACCGGCATTCACCATCATAACATCTTCCCACCGACATTGAGTGGTTTGCTGGACACCTGCTACAGAACCAACACCGGTCTACCTCCTACTTCTGCAGCTGAAAAAATTACTGCTGCCTCCATGCATGCAGATCAGAGTATATTGACACCAACATCCTTGGTCATGCATGCAGATCAGAGTATATTGACACCAACATCCTCGGTCATGCATGCAGATCAGAGTATACTGACACCAACATCCTCGGTCAGCTCCTCTATGTTTGGTGTGCTCCCTCTGCAGACATCGACTTCAGTTACTTCAATGCTGTCATCAAATTTGAATTATCTTTCCTATCCTCCACTGACATTGTCAACAAATCTACCCCCTCTACTGCCCCAGACAGTGCCATTCATGATGCCACAACCACAGACGTCATCGCGCTTGCAGTTACACTACCCTTTCCCGCCAATCCAGCCACTTCTTACCGGTCCATCGTCTCTCTTTGCACCAGTTTATGCAGGGTTTTCTCAGGTTGCTCAAGTAGCTTCTTCATCAAACACTGCTGTTGACACTGGAAGACAGTCTGACACTTCTGTAAGTGACGAGATGACCATGTCAACTCAGGGGGGGAATACTGATAACATAACAAATCCTGAGAGTAACAGTGCTAATGCTGACAAAACAACTGCTTTTTCAGAGATCACAGAGCTGGCACCCATATTAAGTAAAACTTTTCACAGTGGAAGACATTGCGAAGCTTCATCTTCTTCAGGAACTGATGACCTTTCAGTCACGGAAGCTACCAAAATAAATCAAAGCACATCCCGTGGCAATAATGAACATATAAATTCTATTTCGATCTGCGGTGATTTTGAAACTTCGATTGATATATTTGAAAGTATGTCTGGACTCTCGCCTTGTGCTGAAGCTGCAGTTGCCAATGGAAGGGTTCTGTTCCAGCAGCCCAGTGAAGGAATTCCCCAGTGTTTGAATGCTGAGACCCTACACAGGGATGTGGAGTTTGATGCATTCAATATCATAGATGATGTAGACTGTGTTGCTGCGGAAGCTACCAATATTAATAACCGCAGCAACCATCAAACTGTAACTTTAGAAGAGGGAGATTACCAAGAAGCAGGTACCCTTGAATCAACAGGGAGTGGCACCCATCAGCTGTTTGTGACAGGAGCCGACCCTGACATGTCAACAGTGGGGACGGAGGTACATGCAGACAGACTGTTGCAAGAGGCGGCACTTGAGACACTGGACAGTAGAGATATTTCAGATGAGCCACTAGAAAATGTGTTTGTTACTTATGAGTCCTCGTTTGTAACAGGGAATATGATGTGTGAGGCATCGGAAAGTGTAACTAGTATGGATAGGCAAGTGGAAGAAATAAATACAGCAGGTATAGAGGATGAGTCGGTGGATGTGATAGATGGGTCGGCGGATATGATAGATGGGTCATTGGAATCAGCCAACAGGATGGGTGAGAGTTTACAGGTGGATATTGGCAGTCACTCAGTGGATGCTAGTGCCCTCCAGCCTGTGGATGAAACACAGGAAGAATTGGAAGCAATCACTAATCCACTTGAGGCAGATGAAGCCTCTCTGACAGACATAGGGGACATTTTCATGAGCATATAGCCTGCATCAGGTGATCATCAGAAAAGTGCAGGCTGATAGATGGCTTTCTGTGTGGGGAGTTGGTCCACATGGTGCTCTTACCTACTGGGGGCAACAAGAAGGGAAACTGACATTTGAAGGATATACTGAGAGTGATCAGAGATCCTGAGGCAACACGGACTAACAACAACACGTGCAACACACCTGGCCCAGGATAGAAAACTGCGACTCCCCACTACGCTGTGAGGCAATTGTAGACAAGACTGAGAGTGGGTTTTCATTCAACTTGTATGTTTTCATGTCTAAGGGAGTATACTGTGTTCTTTACAGTTCTCAGCTGACGTGAACTGCCCATGTTGTGTGCATGTAAAACGAGCAGCTTCCCAAGAGAAAAAAAAAAAGCCATATGACCAGATTAAATAAAGTAAGCAAAGTTCTTTGGCCATCTGATGAGAAAAAGAGCACTGGAAAATGTTGTGGTGATTGGTAAGATCACTGGTAGCAGAGGCAGACCAAGAGAAACGATGACAGTAGCATGGCGGAATATCATCAGTGGAACTGATCCAGAATACCAAAGACTGAGTTCTGTGGAAAGGCATAAATGGCTCTACCACCTGCCAAGGCACTTGGTGATGGTGTTGTTGATGATAACAAAAAAAAACCCAGCTAACATGGAAACTGTCTTGTTTCAGTCAAAAGGCAAGGCACTTGATGTTGATGATAAAGCAGACTGATTGTGGAATACACAAGTGCTACAACACCCTGAAAGTCTGAGTAAAGCATTGTAGCACTGATTTTGAGAACATTGTTGCTGATCACTCTAGGTGGCGTAGTCAGATATTTACCCACACTGCATCATTGCAAGGGGTCTGAATCTTGGAAACTTCACTGCAGAATGACATATGAATATCAAAAGACTTGTCAGATCACTTGTCTCCCCATGTGGGTTCCCGAGCCCCATTGTGGGGACAAACAAGAATAGAGCCTCCCCGACAAGTATGTCCTAGGGGTCGACCAATTGGGGTCTTCCTTCTAAGTCGGAGTGCATCTGCCCAAGCGACAAGGAGCAACTAGCTGCACACAAATAAACCAGCAAAATGAGTTTACATTCAAAATTCAGGCCCTGACACAAAGTCCATATGGACAAACAACCAGGACCTTCTGCCAGAGCTTACAATAAAGAAGAAGAATATCAGCAGTCAGTATTCCCCTGCCCTTGTTGTAACAATCATTTGTAGGCTCTGTAATGCCATTTCTAAGAAACAAGGTTGGGCTCTCTCGGGCAGTGATTGGACACAGGACAAGAGATGACCAGTATGGTCCAGCAGCTTCAGCTGAGCCAAAAGACAAGTGGCATTATATCTTTATATATTTATTCATGTTTATTCATCCTGAAGCTAATCATCTCTTTCCTCTCCTCCATTCTGGCCAGCACTGTTACCTCCTAAAGTTAGTTTAATGATATAGTATTTCCTATCTGTCTTAGCAGTACTTTATTCATCTTCATTTGTCCTTGAAAGTGATGTTGGTGGTACTTTTTGTATTTCAGAATGGAGCATAACCCTTTAAACAATTCATGCCAGATTTATTGTTGACTTGTACCTGATTGTTTGTATTTTGTACATCATTTTTGTTGTTTATATAGACCCAACACTTGACAGTGATCTGCAGTAGTAAGATGCCTAGTCAGTCTGGGAGTTCTGGGTTCAAACCACTTATGATGTTGGAGTAGTGTGATTTCATTTCACCTCTTAGGGTTCAGTCCCTTTTTTTAGGGTTCAGTCTTTTCTGCGATGAAGCCTCAAGATGACTACACGTTTAAAGTGTGGAAGCAAGAGTCAGCAGCAGATCACTGTAATAGAGGTCAACATTCAGTAGTGGCAGGGGCAACTTTACCAGGCGTGACATTAGCAGTTTCCTGTCAACCCTCTTTAGTTGCCTATTGTGAGATACATAGTAATTGTCAGGTTTACCCTGCGTTACTTAACCTTATGAGCCCCAGTAACACGAGGTTAAACATGTGGGCTTGTTCAGTGCCATGTTTGACCAGACAGGACAGAACAGTTTTAGAATTGACATGATAAGTGTGAGATCCCATGCCCCGTCATGTGCTGCCACATAAGGGGTGGGTGTGTGTGTGTGGGGCAGTCAGCAGGGTGATGCAGCCAGTGTTAGCTGAGCGCCTTTCACTTTAACCCTTTCGCTGCTGCGCCCTCCGGCAGCCAACGTAACCACTGTGCTAAGCCAGACGAGAGCTAATCTTTCCCCCTGTGCTGAATACCGTTTTTTCCTTCAAAAGCAGAAGGCGCGCTTACGGCACGGGGCAAAAATTGTACACCTAAAATAAAAAATCGTTGAAGGCGTGTGGTTGAACTTTGCGCTGACAAGTCAGACGCGCTATTACTACGCCGTGAAAACTCATTAACAAAAAGAAAACACTACAAACTTACAGAGCAAACACAAAACACTTTAGTAAGCAAATACATGGTTTTTATTATTATTAATAATATCTTTGTGTGTGAAATATTTCAAAACAAGGTGCGACACACAATGCCAGATCATATTCCTTGCACATGTATCTGGGTTTCTGTCGTTTTTTGCTTTTTGCGCATACCACACTTTCTGGTTGGGAATTTTTTCTGCGATGTTACGGACTCTATTATTGAAGGGGAATGCCTTTGTACTAAACGAAGTGGCAGATCTTCACTTTTTTGTCCTCCTACACTTTTTCTCTTTTCCTTGCAATATTTATGTAGAATTTCTCTTACTAACATTAAGTGAAATTCGGCAACAGGTGTGTTTTTCCCCACAACAACTTTATATAATGAATGTGCACAGTACACCAACCACGCTTCACATAACGTGTAAAGCATCTAAATCCACCTGAACGCACGTGACAGGATGTTTAATTAATTATTTCTTTGGTTATCTGTTGCCGAAAATGCTAACAGCTTAAATTTAAAATTTGCATTTAAAATAATTAATTTTTTAAAAAAAACGGCACGTAGGGGTTGAACGCTGGACCTTTCGATTGTAAGGCAGACGTGATACCAACTACACTAGAAATTCACATGAAACTGTGAACTGAAAAAAAAGACCAGTATTGTACACTTTAATAGACAAACACATTTATGTCAGTTGTATAGTATATAATTAACATTAATATTAATCATCACGTCAGTACGTGACTATATCTTTTTTGTTGTTGATTATTTTGGATCCGTTTCAAATCCAGTCGATGTAGATAGCTAGGTCATATGGTCACTGGTCAGTCTTGTTCACAGCCAGAAGTACACGTGTCCGCCGGCGTGCCGCGAAGATAACCCAGCTCATATAACTCACACGTTTCAAAGTGATCCTTACTACTACTCCTTGAAAGAAACTCAATTAATTCTTCTTTATTTAAACAAATGTTCTTGTTATTTTGTATTTAAAAAAAAAAAAATTAGACTAACGCAAAACCAGAAATATATTTCAGGGCAAAAAAATTACCGATCACCGACAATGCTTCTATGGTAACAAAGAAACAGGATAACGTGAAATGCATCTAAATACGCCTAAACTCACTCGATAAGGGTTTTAATTGTATGTAAACGGGTCAGTTTGATCAGATTAAGTTAATGTGTATTGCTATTTCACCCCTAAGAATTACTGTCCTTAGCAATCTGTAAAAAAATGTCCAGAACGAGATATCTCGTCCTTAGCAGTGAGGGCACAGAAAATTGCAGCCGAGTTATCTCGTCCATAGCAGCGAAAGGGTTAAGGCCCTATTTTGGAGGTGACAAGAATAGGACTGTCCCGCCCCTCCCCTTCTTCAAGTATGTCAGAAAAGTAGCTAACTAGGGGGTTTGCTGAAATTGGATGTTTTGTGCTGAAAGGTGTTGATGTTGCAAACTAGCTGTAGACCACATCTCAGCTTGCCAACCTCCATTTTAAAGGTGAGTGTAGAAGAAGACAACTTTCAACACATTTTTCGGATGTTTATTTTGCCAGTCTTGGTTGATGATGGCGCTGTGAGTGGTCACATGATCCTAGCAAAACCCTTAATTAGTTCCCCTTTTCCGACTTGCTTGTGAGGGAGCAATGGGTCTGTTTCACCCAGAATGCAACTCTGGAACTCACACATTGAGGTATCTATTGTCATTTGATCACTCATTATCTGTCTTACATTATATATCACAATCACAGGCTACATACATTGTTACTGTCGTCTGCTTTGTTTCTTGAAGGACCTCAGTAAAATGTAGACTGTTGTGGCTTTGCAGCGTTAGTTTCATGAATAAAAGTATGCTTTCGCTGCCTCTTATCGTGTATGTCATGAGTTCGACTCTTTGATGACATATTTCACTGATTCTTGGTCCGGCAGTTAAAAACATTGTGTAGCTGTGTGTTTTCAGGCCAGAATTAAACAAAGACTTTATGATATTAGCATACTAAGGGTAGAAGAGGAAAATAATGTGATGATTTTCATTGTAGTGTTTTATTTAAACGTGTGAAATCTCTTCTGATGTGTTGCTAATTTTTGTAATAACATATTGCATTGCCACTAATGTATATTAGATTTGTTTATATGTGATGTCCTCTGATAAATATGTTTTCTTGTGTTCTTTCAATCACATTTCACTTTAACTTGTACTGCTGGAAGTAAGCACCATATGCCATCATTTGAATACCATGGGTGGACAGGTCAACAAATAAGCAGTCTCTCCAGAAACAGAAAAATGTTGTGAGGAGACAAACTGGGAAAACGTAGTCTTCTTCTTCTTCTTCTTCTTCTTCTTCTTCTTCTTCTTCTTCTTCTTCTTCTTCTTCTTCTTCTTCGATCTTCTGTTAGAAAATGTTTACTAGGAGACTGGCAACCTTGGCGAAAGCTGTCGTGCAGGCAGACTGGCAACCTTGGTGAAAGCTGTCATGCAGGCAGACTGGCAACGTTGGCGAAAGCTGTCGTGCAGGCAGACTGGCAACCTTGGCGAAAGCTGTCGTGCAGGCAGACTGGCAACCTTGGTGAAAGCTGTCGTGCA